CAAGGGTCTTCCTCCAAAGACACCAAGAATGGGCAACTTGAAAGTCCCTGAACAGACTCAGAAGTGGAGTGAGCAGAACAAAAGACAACCTGGCAAAATGGCACTACCTAAAAGAATCCCACATCTTATGTTACTGTGGAGCAGAGCAGACAACTCTACATCTGTTTGCTTGTCCACTATGCCCTGCCTCATGTACAGAGGAAGAATTGTTGGAGGCTACAGACAATGCCATTGCTGTTGCCCATTTTTGGTCAAAATTTATTTATTTATTTATTTCAGGCATTTCTACCCCGCCCTTCTCACCCCCTAGGGGGGACTCAGGGCGGCTTACATCTGGCACAATTCGATGCCAACAATTACAATAAAAATGCAATAACAATAAACACAATAGTTTAAAACATACAATTAATACAATATCAACTAAAAACCCGATCTACAGCCTGCATTTATCGAGTTCTAAAATCCGTCAATCCATTTAGCATTACCATAGTCCTTTCCAACTCTAGTCATCATTACCTTGTTAGTCTGCCAGATTACCCAAATGCCTGGTCCCATATCCATGTCTTCAGCTTCCTTCTGAAGGAGAGGAGAGATGTTGATGACCTGATTTCCCCAGGGAGTGAATTTCACAGGCGAGGGGCCACCACTGAGAAGGCCCTGTCCCTCATCCCCACCAGCCTCACTTGTGATAAAGGTGGGGCCGAGAGCAGAGCCTCCCCAGAAGATCTTAAACACCACGGTGGGACATAGAAGGAGATACGTTCGGACAGGTACGCTGGGCCGGCGCCGTATAGATATTTAGCCACTTGCGCTCCTTCTATTTTTATCGGTTTTATACTAATTATGCAATGCTTTTGATACAAAATAAATAAATAACCCTGCAAAAAGTACAGAAAATGGCATTGTGCACTAAAAAAATCCTGGCTATAGACTCTGGATCTCACAGACTAAGTTTTAAATAAAGAGTTTAAGAGATATTCTATATTACAATTAAGTGGGAGCAGAGATATTGTGGGTTAGCTGAGAGATGTTGCAGGTCAGGCAGAAATAACAGCAACCACCAGATGTAAAATGCATGCAATGTTACATAGAAAAGGAACTGAAAGAAGACAGTGTCAGCATCTGTGAGTCCAAAACTAAAAAAACAACTTTGAACTCATTATGACCTCCAAAGCAGAACTGTCTTCTTAGAAAACAGCACATTTCTCTATGTTCTAAGGTACATAAGGTAAATAAGAGGGCAAAATATTAATTCCAGAATGTAGGGACTTCAGAATGTACAGTGGCCCTTATTTCTCATGCCAGTAAGGTAATGCTCAAGATCCTGCAAGGAAGACTCCAGCACCACATGGAGCGAGAGTTGCCAGATGTTCAAGCTGGGTTTAGAAAAGGCAGAGGAACCAGAGACCAGATTGCCAATATCCGCTGGATAATGGAGAAAGGCAGGGAGTTTCAGAAAAACATCTACTTCTGCTTCATTGACTATTCTAAAGCCTTTGACTGTGTGGATCATAATAAATTGTGGCAAGTTCTTGGTGGGATGGGCATACCAAGCCACCTTGTCTCTCTCCTGAGGAATCTGTACAAGGACCAAGTAGCAACAGTAAGAACTGACCACGGAACAACAGACTGGTTCAAGATTGGGAAAGGCGTATGGCAAGGCTGCATACTCTCACCCAACCTTTTTAACTTGTATGCAAAACACATTGTGTGATGTGCGGGGCTTGATGAATGCAAGGCTGGGGTTAAGATTGCTGGAAGAAACATTAACAACCTCAGATATG